CACAGGCAAGCACTGCTAGAAACACGCTGGATTCATTAATGCATTTGATCTCGAATTAATATTTGATAGTTACATGTTCAAAAACCTTTCACTGTTGCCCAATTTTTTGCAACCCCCACATTCAGTTATTTGACCCAATGTGGGGTTGTGACCCACAGTTTAAGAAGCTGGTAGAATATGAGTTCCATCTTAAAAGATGAGTAGATGTTAAAAAGTATGAATGAGAGCAGGAAGGCATTCCAGGCATAGAGAATAATATGAGGAAAGGCATGATGTAGGAAAATGTTGGATATGTTTAATTGACAATGTATAGTCTGTTCTGGCTAGAATAAAGTACACCTGGAAAGGATTACTACAGATAAGGTTGGAAATGTAGGAACTTCCAAATTGTAGAGTGCCTTGACTATTGAGCTGAGAAATTTAGAATGTATTCGCCAGGCAATAAAGAGGCATTGAAAGGTTTTAAGCAAAGGAATAACATGATGAATAACAAGAAAGATCTGTAGGCAGCAGGAAGAATGTATTAAAGGGAGGAATAGAGAGGTAAGGAGACTAGTTGGGTGGCTACTGCAAGACCCTGTACAGGTGGTAATGAGATCCTTTACCAGGGTTGTGGTTGTAGGAATGAAAAGAATAAAATGGATTTGAGAGGTATTCTAGAAGCCTCTGTTAGCCTCATCTCTAAAATGATGGTGTTGGAGAGAACCCTAGTGAATCAACTAAAAAACTAGTTGAAACAATTTCACAACTTCAGTAAAGTTGCAGGATATAAAATAAACCCACATAAATCATCAGTATTTCCATATGCTATCAACAAAACCCAGCAGGAAGGAATAGAAGGAGAAATTCCATTTAAAATAACTGCAGGGAATATAAAATACTTGGGAGTCTATCTGCCAAGAAAACCCAAGGTATTATGTGAACACAATTATAAAACATTTTTCACAAAAATAAAGATACATCTAAAGAAATGGGGAAATATTAATTGCTCATGGGCAGGCCAAGTCAATATAATAAAAATGACAATTCTACCTAATTTAATTTATTTATTCAGTGCCATACCAATCAAACTACCAATGAATTATTTTATAGTTGGCAAAAAAAAAAGTACCAAAATTGATCTGGAATAGCAAAAGGTTAAGAATATCAAGGGAAACAATGAAAAAAATGTTAAGGAAGGCAACCTTATAGTTCCAGATTTCAAACAATATTATAAAGTGGTAATCATCAAAACAATGTGCTACTGGTTAAGAAATTGAGTGATGAATCAGTTGAATAGATTAGATACACAATACACAGTAGTAAATGACAATAGTAATCTAGAGTTTGACAAACCCAAAGATCCAAGCTTTTAGGATAAGAATTCAATATTTGACAAAAATTGATGGGATAACTAGCAAGCAGTTTGGAAGAATATAGGTACAGACCAATACCTCACACTGTATGTCAAGATAAATCAAAATAGATAAATGATTTAGATAGAAAGGGTGAAATCATAAGTAAATTAGGAGAGCATTGAAAAATGTATCTGTCAGGAAGAGTTTGACCGAATAAGAGACAGAGGGGATTACAAGAAGTAAAATAGATAATTTTGATTACATGAAATTAAAAGGCCTTTGCACAAACAAAACCAATGCAGCCAAAATTAAAAGGAAAGCAGGAAGCTGGGGAGGATTTTGCAGCAAGTTTCTCTGACAAAGGCCTCATTTCTCAAAAATATAGAAAATTGAGCCAAATTTATATTAAAAAAAAAGCCATTCTCCAGTGGATAAATGGTCAAAGGACATGAACAGTCAGTTTTCAGAAGAAATCAAAGCTATATATAGTCGTAAGAAAAAACACTACTGATTAGAGAAATGCAAATTAAAACAACTCTGAGATACCATCTCACACTTATCAGACTGGCAAACATGAAAGAAAAGGAAAATAACAAATACTGGAGGGGATGTAAAAAAATTGGAACACTAATGCACTCTTGGTAGAGTTGTACTGGTTCAACCATTCTGGAGAACTATTTTGGAATTATGTCTAAAGGGCTATAAAGTGTGCATATACCCTTTGATCTAGCAATACCACTACCAGGTCTGTATCCCAAAGAGATTAAAGAAAAAGGAAAGGGTCCTATTTGTACAAAAATATTTATAGCAGCTCTTTTTTATGGTGGCAAAATTGGAAAATGAAGGGATGCCCATCAATTGGGAAATGGCTGAACAAGTTGTGGTATATGATTGTGATGGAATACTATAAATATGAGCTATATGTGCTACAAGAAATGATGAGCAGGATGGTTTCAGAAAAACCTGGAAAGATTTATATGAACTGATGAAAAGTGAAGTGAACAGAACCAGAAGAACACCTTAAACAATAATGGCAATATTGTAAGAATGATCAACTTTTCAAGATGTGGCTATTCTGATCAAGAAAATGATCTAAGACAATTCCAAGGGATACATGATGAAAAATGCTTTCCACTTCCAGAGAGAAAACTTATGAACGCAGATTAAAGCATACTTTTCTCAACTTTATCTTTATTGTTTTGTTTGTTTTCTTTTGCAACATAGCTAACATGAAAAGTATGTTTTGCATGACTTCATACGTATAATTGAAATCAAAGTGCTTGCCTTCTCAAGCAGGTGGCGTGGAAGGGAGGAAGAGAATTCGGAACTCAAAATTTTAACAAATGATTGTTTAAAACATTTTTACATGAAATTGGGAAATATTTAAAGAAATAAAAAAAAATTAAAAAATAAAATGATGGTGTTAGACTAATCCCTAAGGTCCATTCTAGTTCTAAATCCTATTATGCTATGATCCTGCGATTTGATAACTGGTTAGATATAGGAAGTGAAGGCTAGTTCTTCAACTATGGTCAATTCAAGGTCAAGCCTAACCTTTTTTTTTTTTAATCAGAAATGAATTGATGTACTATGAATTGATAACAGCGACATTACTATGCTTCTCTAAATGCTATCTTAAAAGCTATTCAATTATGCTATAGACAAAATCTTGGCTTAAGTTTCTGTATCTGTGCAATGAAGGGTTTAGTTCTTTCTAGCCCTAAAATACTGTGATGCTATGAAAATCCTTTCCCTGGGTAGTCTCTTTTCTTTTGTGTTAAATGGTGTTTGGGGAAATCAAAAGAGAACGTAATTAGAATTTCCTACTACTCATTTACAGCATACAATATAACACATAAACATGCCATGATTTTTAGATATTTTCTTTCAAATTTAGTTTAAAATGAATAGTTATGTCATTTTGTCATCTTTTTTCCTACCCCATTACCCTTTCTGTAACAAATAAGGACCTCATTTACCTAACCACTTTTAGATAATGCTGTTGAACCTTTCTATGTGGTATCCTTCAAACTTAACATATCTGAAACTAAGCTAATCATCTCCCATCCACCCCTAACTGACCTCCTTTATTCTCAGCTTCCCTATTTCAGTCAATCACCTAGGCTCAAAACTTGATGGATTAAAAAGAGTATTTGACTAGAAGACAGGAGATTTGGGTTTGGGGTCTAACTATGTTACTTGCTAGCTGCATGTAGCTTGGGCAAATCATTGTACTTCTTAGTCTCAGTTTTATCATCTGTAAAACTGAGAGAGTGGGATGAGATTATCCCTAAGTTCCCTTCCAGGTCAAAATTCTATGATCATGTAAAATAATCTTTGATTTGTCTCTCAAATCCAGCTTCTATAATCAAACCCTTGTAAGTCCATTCTTCCTTTACCATGTTTCTCAAATCTTTCCTGCCCTCTCCCAAGCCCAGCACCTTACTTCAGTTATCACTTCATACTTGGCCTATGGAAGTGGATTCCTTAACTGGTTTCTCTACTTCTGCTGTCTTCTACTTCCAATCTCTGCAGATATTTTAGATCTACCTAGAGTTTGACCCTGCTGCCCTGATTTTCCCTAAAACACCTCTTTCCCTATGTCATCTTCCCTGCTCAAAACCCTGCCACATCAAGCACCACATCAGTTTCATCTTCAAGGTCTTCTATAATCTGGCCACATCCTAGTCTTTTTTTTTCCCCCTTACTACTTATCTACACAACCTTCTACTCCAGAACTGGGAAGAATCACTATTACCTGAACAGGCACTGTGTTTTCCTACCCTAGTTCCTATTTTTGCCTACACTACCTCCCAATCTTGAATGACCACCTCTTTTTTTCCCTATTAAAATCCTAGTTATGAGTTTTAAGATCCAGCTTAAATCTCTGCTTCCTTTCCAGACTGTTCCAATCCCAAATAATTTCTTTCCTCTATTGCCAATACAACATACTTGGTACTTTCCAATCTGTGTACACATAGGGATATTTCTGTGTTTAAAACAGTCAGATGAACCAGCCAGATTTCAAATTCTTGACCCTTTTCTTAAAGCTTCTCTCAAAAAGTTTCTGTTCTGCTGATGTTTCTGATGTTCTTCAGATCCCCACTTACCACCACCCTCCCGCCCCCCTCATTAAATGATCATCAGGCCTGCATATCAAATACTGGCTGCTTTTTTGCAGGGATACCAAGAAGATGTTACCAAAGTTGTGGACCAATAGAAGAGGTTTTCTGTCCCAGAAACAATGCTGGAATAGCGAGTAGGCTGTATTCCCAGTAGGATTCTCTACCTGTCACCTACTAGGCAGAGTTAGCAAGCCCAAGGGCACCAGTCTTGTGCTCTCAGCATGGTACCTTTGTCTATCAGTAATAACTGTTGGGCAACAGGAACTGGCCAAAGATGACTAGAAGTCTGTCAGAATACATGGACAGTTGTATTGCTCAAACAATCGGTCATAAAGGCAAAATTGTAGCTACCAGCAACCTGGAAACCATAAATTCTGGACTCTGATCATTTTCATAAATATCACCAACAATTAAAATATACTTAGGGCAGCCAAATAAAGTAAAAGAGGACAAACACATCCAGGGCTGAACTAAATTTGGCCCAATTGAAAAAGCATCTGGCTCAAGGCAAGCAATGATTTTAATGAAAATGGAAAGCATGGCCCACAGCATTGGTCCTGAACTATATCTTTATTCTCCAAGAATTCCTGATCACAGATGTTTCATGCCTAGGACTTTGGAAAGGGTAGGAAAACCTGGTGAAATTCTGCATCCAGGCAAATACTTTGTCAGATAAAATGATTTGAAGCTTTCTGCAAGGTTGACCTAGATTGTGTTGGGTGCTGTACACTACACAAAAATAGAAAGGCTTGTTCTGAGTGCCTTTCACTGTGAGAACCTTAAGCGACGAACCTTAGTTCAGTCAGCTATTTTAACTAAGAATTAACCAAGGAAAGATGCCAGGATTCACCTAGAACTTGACCTAAATTCTAATATTATTGCTTACTCTCTGTAATGCCCAGTTTCTTAAACAAATTTCTTTTCTTGTGCTACATTCCCTTAATAATCTTGCTAATGCTTATTGTTCTTTCCTTATTATTAAATAACTAATTAATGCCATTCCATATTTATGATTCTTAAGATATATGTCTATATATAATCAATGTACATATTATTTTATAGTATATATACAGTACGAAGTATTAACATATGGTGTTTTATAGTATAGATGGTATGGATGAAGCATATATGGTATTTTATAGCATCATATATAATACGGATGAAGAATTAACATACCTGGCATTTTGGAATAGTATATATGAAGTATTAACTTATATGGCATTTCAGAGTATTATATACAGTATAGAAGAACTATTTTCACTTTCTTTGTATGCAGTGACTTGGAAGATTAAAATAATCACAAGTTTGAAATGCACTCGGATATTCGAAGGCTTGCCTCTAGTTCCACAGCCAGGAACCATCAGGGCTATGCTTCTGAATTTAGGTCTCATGACTCTCTCGAGGTTCTCTACCACTACACCACACTACCGAGAAACAGGCAAATGATTTAGTGAAACCGGCCTCGGAAGGTGTCTCTCATTTTTCTAGTAGCTCAGGGAGGAGCCAGATTATTGCCGCGGGGAAGAATGCTAGACTTCAACGAGTGGAAGCTTCCCGGGGTTAGTAGCCCTTAGCGGAGCATCCCGGTCCAATCCAGCAGCCTCCGGGTCTCCCTGGGATAGACAGAGCGAGCCCAGAGGAGGGGCAGAGGAGCCGGGGCACGCAGCCCGACGTTTGGGCAGCACCCGGGCCGAGCTGAACAGGTTAAAGCAGCTCCCCCTCTCCTGCTCTCCACGCCTCCCAGGTTTTCCCCCTTGGCTCAGGGTTTCCTGTTTCAGTTCTTGGTGATCTCCAGCAGCAGGTGCTGGTTTGCCAACTCTCCCGCTTTGAGGACAAGGAAAGGAGAGAAGGGGAAGAGGAGGAAACAGCGGCGGCCGCTGCTGAGGGAAGAGAGGGAGAAAGAGAGAGGAGGGGGAGGGAGGGAGAGCAGCGGGGCAGAAACCTCCGCCTTGCTCCGCGCGCCCAGGAGCAGGGGGCCAGAGAGGGGCGCGGGCGGAACCCCGGGGACTCTGCTGGGAGCGGAGCTGGGCGGCGGCGGCGGCCCGGGAGGATGTGAGGGACAGGCGCCGGCCGAGCGGAGCCCAGCGCAGCGGCGCGGAGGCCGAGCGGCGGCGGAGGCAGGGCGCGGGCAGAGCGGACGAGCCGGACGTGTTGTCGGGCTGCAAGTAGGTTGAGCCTCAGATTCTTGGGTGTTTGTGTGTGAGTGTGTGTGTATACGTGTGTGTGTGTTGGTGTGTGCGTTTGTAAAAGCCGGAGGGGGAGGTGCTGCGGCCGCCAGTCCCGGCCGTTCTCGCTGGGATCAGACCTTCCCTCGGGAAGGGGCCGGGAGCCGGGCTGGGCGGGGCCGCCCCCTGGGAGGCCGGGGCGGGCGGGCGTGCGTGCCGGGAGCACGCCGGAGCTGGGGCCGGGCTCGGAGCCGAGCGGGAGCCGGAGCGGGAGCGGCGGCGGGGGCGCGCCGGGGGGTTTCCAGGAGAAGGAAGCGGCTGCCGGCCCGGGCCGCCGGCCACCGCCGCCGCCGCTCTTTTCCAGGCCCCGGAGGGTCGGGGCTCCCCGGAGGTCGAATTGGTGAGATCCGGAGACGAGAGGCCGCAGCCCCGGGGCGGAGCGGAAAGCGCGGCTGCCCCGGTCCTCGGTTTCCCCCCACCCCCCCAGGGCCGTGGAGACCCCGAGGAAGGTGAGACGCGGCCAGCTCCATCCCGGGGAGGGGCGGCCAACATGGAGGCGGCCGGAGCCCGGCCCCGTGTCCAAGGGGCCGAGAACGGACAGACGGCAGGGGGAGACCTCCCCATCTCTCCCCTTGGCCCCCGTCCCCGCCTTGTCTCCCGGGTAGCTGCGGGAGGGACCACACCCTCTGACCCCCAACCCGCCGCCTGGATTGTCCATCCTCAAACGGTCGCCGGCCCCGGCTCGGCCCTCCCTGCCGTGCCCTGACCCCATCCTTTCTTCCCACCAAACGGTCAGCGTGGCCGCCCTGCCCCAAGCCCCGGAGGGAGGTCAAGGCTGCGGCCCCGGACACCAGCCCGCTAGCCCCTTTAAAAGTCCCGCCCGCAACCTTTCCCCACCTCTCCGGGGGTGATTTTAACTTGGGTTTTCTTCACCTTGGGGCAGACCAGCATCCTGGGAATCTGGGGTCGGGGCAGTTCTAATCTGGGTCCCGGAGCTGCGTTGTGGCATTTGGGGGGGAGCACCCACCCCAATTCTGCAAGTGTCTCGCCTCAGATTGACATCTGGCCGTAAAAAGGACAGGGGCTCAAGGACCTTGGGTTTGGAAATCTGTGAAAGTTGCCTTGTGTTGTGTTTCTTTAGCTAGTGCTGTGGGACATTCACCTGTTTTGTGCATTTTCATCCAGAGTCTTCTGTTAATGACAAATACAACATCAAAGGGAAGAAGCGTTTCTAGGATTTTTGAGCAAGGCTTGAAAATGTTGAGGCAGTAAAATATCCAAAATGTTAGGAAGGAAGTCAAGGCATGATTTCCATTTACATCTTTGGACTATGTATGTAATTCACCTCTTTCTTAACTCCAGGTTGCTATTCTTGGCAAGTAAATACTGCATGTTGTTTTCTGAAATTAGAATGGGGAGAAAATCTCAGCCAAGATCAGGAAAGCTGTAGTTTTACAAGAGACATAGTAATGCCTAGAAAAATGCATGCTGTGGGACTAGCTTTAGGGTTTTGTCCTCTTTTCTCTTGTCCCTGTTTAGAGGGAAAATTAATTTGGTGTTATCAGCACCTGTATAATTGTGAAAATTATTTTTCAGATGAGACTGAAGAAACTTCCTTTGATGTGTTTGCCATCTATTTATAAAAGATAGACTTTTTTGTCTTCGAAAATAATTTTAAAATCAGACTAGACTAGTTCTAGGTGCTTTTAGCATCTGGTAAACCACAAAGGGTATTTAAATACCATTAATAAAATAATGCCAAGCTCCTAGTCTTGTTTTCATGTTTTTGTTATCTAGGCTTAGTTATACCATTACATGCTAATGAAAATGATTTAGACCAGGAAAAGAGAAAAATTTGTGGCATTTCTATTATTTATTAACTTTTTGCTTAGAGGTGTATCCAGATTTTAAAATGTCCAGATTAATTAGATAGTTGGCTTCTTTAAAGGTAGATAATTCATGGGGGAAAATACCAAATTTGGGGGCAGCTAGGCGTTGCGGTGGATAAAGTACCGGCCCTGGGTTCAGGAGGACCTAGTTTAAATCCGGTGTCAGACACATAACACTTACTAGCTGTGTGACCCTGGGCAAGTCACTTAACCCCATTGCCTAACAACAACAACAACAAAAAACAAATTTGATACAAAAATAGTTGGTTAGTAGAAAATAGATATCTAAAGTTTTCTTCTCAGGTTGGTTACCTTATCTTTATTCCAATGGATTACAATGATTTTCATACTCATTTTGGTTCCATAACTATTTCCTTTAAAACTCTTGTCTATTTTAATTCTTCATTTGGTTTTGTACTCATACATTCAAGAGACTACTATATTATCCTGATATTAATTTTTTGAGAGAGTGTTCCTCCAAGATCAAATTAATTGAGCATAAAGGAATGATTATTCAGGATTTTTTCCCTCTCTGGAAATTCCTTATTCTTTTGCAAAGGTATAGAATATGAGAATATTGAGTTTTCCTATCATTATTTGAATAAATTCTACTACTACTTCTAATTTATTTATTATGTATTTTTAGACTACCTATTATTTCTAAAGGACTGTACAAGTTATAGCAAGGGACTCAAAGATTCATAAGACATAGTCCCTGTTCTCAGGTAGCTCATAATCTAATCGGAAGGAAGGAAGAATGTACAGATTGACTACACAACCATAATGCAAAGTAGTATAAGGGGTCAGTAAGCCCCTGCCATACTTCTTTGTCTTCTTCCATCTTCCCCCCCCAAGGTGAGTTCCTACCTTGCTTTCCTCAGTAGTGAAGACTTACTTCACTCCTTGATCCCCTCCCATATCCTCTAGGACCTTGTTCATTCCTTCTTTTCTTTTTCATATTGAAATCTTTCTCCATTACTGGCTCTCCTTCCATTCACACTTATGTTCAGCTCTCCCATGATCCTTCCCATTTACCTTTCACTACCAACCTTCTAGAAAGAGTACCCCATATTTTCTGCCTCTGCTGTCTAACCACCCACTGACTCTTCAACCTGTTGGACTTTTACTTTCATTCCCACCACACTACTGCAACTTTTCTCAGAAGTCCGGTTGACCTCTTAATTGCCAAATCACAAGGTCTTTTCTTCTTCCTTAACTTTTCTGCCATATTTGCTTATATTGATAAACTCCTCTTTGCTGGCTCCCAAGACCTTTGGCCACTTGTCCTTCTTATCTCTCTCAGCATTCCTTCTTATTCTTTATCCTCCCTCTCTGGCTCCCAAAATATGGGCATCCTTCAGAACATTTTCTTTGACCCTCTTCTCTTCTGTCTCTAAATATATTTTCTCCCCCAATCTCATTCATTCCCATAGCTTCAGTGATCACTTCTTTGCGGATGATCCAGGTCTCTATTTCCAGCCATTATTTATTTCATCCCTGTGTTCTAGTTCCTTATTGTTAAATGTTGGATGGAAAGAGGCAGAGAAATAGGAATATAGATGGAACATGTTCGTGGAATGATGTGGTATTTGGGTTAACTGGAACGAAAGATACATGTGTGGGAGTAGTAAAACATAAAGCTGGTAAGCAGTAGTCTGGTATAAAGTTATTAATAATTGGAAAAATACAAGTGGGCCTACATGACATTGCCCCAACTAGTGTCATTTTGCAGTAATGTCATAAAATATTCCTTATAGCAAAACCTCACTGTAAAGTACTTTGGCCAGCTGTTCCACATAAGAGGTTATTCCTGGAGAACTATGTAATAGGTTGGGCAATGCGTATGTTTATACCAAATGGCATAAAGAAAGAGTGCTGGGCTTGGACTAGGCATCTAAAGACCTTAGCTAAAGCCCTTACAGAGTTCATAGCACTTTAGACAAGGAATTCATTTTCTGGGCTGCTTTTTCCTTATCTGTAAAAACAAAGAATAGGACTAGAAGTTTTCTTAAGTTCCATCAAGCTCAGAAATTACCTGGTGAGCCAGAAATATACCCAAAAAAGCCTTAATGTTCAGAAAAGAAACAGAGTTTATAAACTTAAGATTGTAAACCCCCAAAACTCAGAGGTAGTTCTAGGAGTCTGGATTTTTAAAAAAGACTTCTTTTTTTGATGTGTTTTTGAGGGGGAGAGGAATGACCAAAGGATTTTCAATAGTATTTCATTTCTTGTGTCTCAGGCTTTAGTAGCACCAGAATTCGAACGATCACAAAATTTGTCACTATTAACAGGGAAAATTATGTATATTTAGTAATGCATTTTTTTCTCCTAAACTCCACTGCATCCCATGACACATATTTTCTCAGTAATTTGTAATAATGGTGCCAAGTATCTAGCCTCCTATTTCCAGAATGGATTCTGGGCATAAAAATGCACTTTCCAGTGGTTGGCAGAGTAAGCAGGAGGAGGAAATAACACTCCTAACACCTGGGAATAATACATATCAGACAATTTCTTATTAAGGCAGAGGCAAAACAATGCCTTGAATAGGCTCCAGAGACCACACCCTTGGGTAAATAGCACTGACAGCCAAGAATGTGATATGGATGTGCTATATCTTAAGCCGGGTTATTTATAAACATTTGATTTATTTGGCCAGCTGATTTTCAAGTATCAGATGTGTACATTCTAAAGCAGTGATTCTTAAAATGATGGCTGGCATAGCACTTTAAGGTTTGTAAAGGATTCTACATACATTATTTTACCAGAACTTTCTGATAGCCCAGTGAGGTAAGTACTACAGGTCTTATTGTACCCCTGTTTTACAGATTAAGAAATTGAGATTCAGACCCATTAAATGACTTATAATTACTCGGTGCCAGATATGGGATTTGAACTCTGGTGTTCCTGATTTCCACTTTCAACATTCTACTACTCCATGCTGTCCTTGTTTGCTTTTTAATAAAATCCTCTGTCTTCCAAAAAGTATTCTAATATGCAAGAGTAGAAACCCCCATCAAAAAAACTTAATGAAGTTAGTTTAGCATTACTTATTCTTAGTGAACTCAGGCTAGCTCCTAGTTCTCACTGTTTCCCTAACTACTCACAAAT